GCTAAAGGAATTAGGTTGGGCAAAGACGGGAAACAAAGCTTAGGGTGTTTGAATAAATGCCCTAGTTGGGCTGTAGAAAAGTCTTGTGTTGGGGGGTGGGGGAGGTAGGTTGCAAAGAGAAACAAGGGCTGGAGGGTCAGTAGGTGGGGTCTGGGCACCAGGCAAGAGACCGATGATTAACTACAGCCTGCGGTTAATGGGCAGCCATCGGAAGTTTTGTGACGAGTTTTGCTAGGAGCAAGGAAATGGAGCTCTTACTCATGAGATTGTAGAAGGTGCTTGTAGTCCTAAGGGAGTGGGAGCCTGAGCTGTGATGCTGGTTGTGGAAAATGAAAATGTTATGTAAAGAAAGCAGGAAAAGGTCCACAGGATTGTGACTGGCCATGGCGGTCAGCAGCCCTCTGACAGTGCCCGCCGTGCCTGTGGGACAGGGGTGTGCAGTCCTGCTGTACATGCCCAGCTCTGTGGTATGGAAGCAGCCACAGGCAGTAAGTATGAAATGGGTTCCAATAGAACTTTGTTGATGAGCACTAAAATCCGAACTACATCTCATTTTCGAAGTCTCACAAAATATTTTTATTTTGACCTTTGTTTCAACCACTTAAAAATCGTCTTAGTTCTTGGACCATACAAGACAGTAGGCACATTTGGCCCCACAGGCCAGAGTTTGCCAACTTCTGACTTGCTGGATTTGAGATACAAAGGAGTAAGACACTAAAACTAGCTGGCTTTGAGCCTGCGTCACTGAGAAAGCTAAATCATCATTGGTAGATCAGGGAAGTGAGGAGAGGGAGTTACGTGTAGAAAAAGTGGTTCGATTTTAAATAAGTCCTTTGGTATTTTTCACAAGTAAATACCTTCCCACGACTCCTGTCACCACAAACAAGTGGGATCAAAGAGCGAGCGGCTGTACACAAGTAGGATCAGAACAGTCTGTGCTTGAGAGGCAGTTTGAAGAGCCTCAGGTCATTTGCGTAGAGGTGCTGGCTGAAACAGGAGAGGCGCCGTCTCCTGGGAGAATGCTTTAAAAGGCAGTAAGCCGGCTGATTCTAGGGAATGCTCTCAGTGTGTGGCAGAGAGAGGGAGCCTGCTGGAGCCATGTCTTGTGGAAAAAACAGCCCATTTAGCTCAAACTCTCCCTTTTTCTGCTCCCTGGTGGCGTTACGCTATTTTTAAAAAAGATTTATTTATTTATACAAGAACTGGGGTACAGGCTAGAGGTGCAGGGGGGGTTAGAGGATCCACCAGAGACAGGGTAGGGGGTAGCAGAACAGGTGGATCTACTGAAACACTGCTGAGGGGAGCAGCCGGTGGGTCAGGCCAGTCAGGAGAGGTCTGCTGCGCCATGTGGGTCAGCGCCCTGGCCAGGGAATGTACTCGTGCGGCAGTGGCTGCGGACAGCTTTGTAGTGCTGCGACTTAAGCCATTGCGCCACTCGGGAGGGCCTGGCTTTATTCTATTTAAAAAACAGTGGCTACTTCAGCAAGTTAAGTCTCATAATCCTTGAGTCAACATTTCTGTCCCTTGGAATATGTTTCAAGGAACTTTTTACTTAACTCTAATCTGATGACATGTGCAAGAGTGTTGAATGCAGTAGAATTTTTGGTGGTGGGACCTGGAGGCAGCATAGGGGTTGTTGGGGGGAATGAATAGGTAAAAAGAGGAGTCTCATCATGCAGCATAAAGCAACAGTGAGAAGCATCAAAAAATATCATCATAAAAAAGATGCATAGTGGGAAAGAGGAAAATAAACCCAAGAACAACATCATGTAACTCAACGTGCTTGTGAAACAATACTCAGCTGTCAAAGATACCCACAAAAACTCACAGTAAGTATATTAGAGGGTTGCCTTTTGGGGAAGAAGGTGGTCTGGGTCTGATCAGGAGAAAAAGAAACCAAAATAATTTCCACAGCAGGGGTAGCCTAAGGGTGGACTACGTGCAGCTGTAAACATGGGCTTGGAAGAGCAGTTAACAATAAGTTGCTCTTAGGTAACTTTGAGTGAAAACATAGTGGATATGTACATAAGATGATCTTAATTATATAAGCAATTGGTACAAAAAAAGCCCTCAGTGTTAATGGTCTCTAGAAGATAGAATTACTTGGGATTTTAATTCTTCAGTCTAAATTGAGTTTTTATTTAAAAGTATCAATAAAGATTAAATTATAAAGATTTGGACTTCTCAAGTGGGGGCTTAAAAAATGCAATGGATTGTTGATCTACTTGAGTGTGGGCTGCTGTAAAGAACACTGTAAGGTTCCGAGGCCCAAAGCAACAAGAGTGCCAGTCTAACTCCTGCTTCTTACTTTATCTCGCCCAGCTCTTAGAGCAAGCCCTGGTGATTGAGGAACAGCTTCGCCGGGCAGCGTATCTGAACATGTCCGAGGACCCCTCACACCCTTCCATGGCCCTGAACACCCGCTTTGCTGAGGTGGAGTGTCTGGCGGAGAGTCATCAGCACCTGTCCAAGGAGTCAATGGCAGGAAACAAGCCAGCCAATGCGGTCCTGCACAAAGGTAGCCAGTGGCTCCCCTGCCTCCTGCTGACTCAGCCTCCTTTCCCCCAGCAGCACATCCACTTCTTATTGCCAGGCCTCTTACAGGGCTCCTTTGGGAGCTTAGGGCGTGCCGGGGAGTTTGCCTTCCTCCTTGGGATGCTGATGTCTTAGAGGCAATCAAGGACAGTTCTTTGCCTCTTTTGACTCCTAATATATTCAAGTTCTTGGAGGTGGAAAGCAAAGCAGAATAATGTAGTGTCAGCTCGGATACTTCAGAGGTTACTTCAGGTGATTTAAGATCCCTTCAAATTCTAGACCCCTTTCAACATTGTGTTTCTAATTAAAGTTTAAACATTGAGGTGGCGTGGAGGGTGAAATGAGGAAAAGGAGGTTATAAAGAAAGAGGTAGATAGATCTGCAAGGTGGAGCGAAGGGCAGCAGTGGGACTAAGCCGCTCAAGAAGAGCGACAGCGGAGACAGTAGGGAGCAGGGGGCAGTCCCCCGTAAAAGGGGACTTGTAAGAAGTGTAGACACGGGGACAGCCAGAACCGGGGTATGAGGAATAGGGACTTGAGTGTGGTGGAGGCCAGAGCAGGTACTCAGTGACAAGAGACAGTACTCAACATTCAGCACGCCACTAGTCTCAGAAGTGATGGGAGGCTGGCCCATTGTGTCGGAGGGGTCTGGCCTTGGCTACCACAGCTTACCGCCTCTGTTTGCCCTGTGCAGTTCTGAAACAGCTGGAAGAACTGCTGAGTGACATGAAAGCTGATGTGACTCGACTCCCTGCTACTATTGCTCGAATTCCCCCAGTAGCTGTGAGGCTACAAATGTCCGAACGTAACATTCTCAGCCGCCTGGCAAACCGAGCACCCGAGCCTCCTCCACAGCAGGTGGGACCACCCACTTTGGTGTTCTAGCAGAGCCGCTCTGGGACTTGTAACTTTGCTCTTTGTTATTTTCCATACTGGGCATTGGGGCTGTCTTAGCAGTGAGTTCCCCAGGGATGGGGCAGATTCTTGTGGTTCTGACTCCTTTGGCTTTCCTTCCGGTAGGTGGCCCAGCAGCAGTGAAGATCCAGATGGACGATAGCACCTCCACCGCTGAGCAGTGACCTTCACTTTCCCTTGTCCAGCTTCCCCCTCTCCCCTGGGGCCTGAGAGACCCTCTCCTTCCTTCTGCCCCAACTTCCGTGTGGTCAAGGAACAGCCCCCTGTGCACTGGGGGAGGGGAGGGAATGAGGGGCAGTGGTGCCCTTCCTGCTGGAGAGACATGCAGCAGTAGCGCCGGCGCCATCTGCAGGGAGCTGGCAGGCTGGCCTTCTTCGGGGCCCTGGCTTCTCCCCCACTGTAACGTCTGTTACACACAAACTGTTGTGGGTTCCTGCCAGGCTTGAAGAAAATGATCTGAATTTCTTCCTCCTTTTGGTTTTATTTTGTTGGTTTATTTTGTGTTTTCTTTTCTCCTTTTTTTGGGGGGTGTTCAGAGTGGGCCGGGCCCCTGGGCGAGACACAGCTACCTCTGTTGGCATCTTTTTAATACCAGGAACCCAGCGGCTCCAGCCACTTGAGCGGCTAGAATGAAATAAAGTGGAAAAAAAAAAAAAAAAAAGGAAAAGAACCAAAAGCATAAAAACCACAGCAAATTTCTTGATGAAAATTGAAAATAAAAGTTTCCTTGTATTTTAGTGCTCTGGTTCAGTGTGGGTGTAGGTGCAGGTGGATGAGTGTGTATGACAGGAGCCTTGGGAAATGTGCAATTGAAAGCCAGGGGCTACCTCACGTTCTGTCTGGGCTGTGTCCAGTGTGCTCTGGACCAAGCATGAACTCTTCCAGAATTACCTGGGCTCTCGTCTTCTACCCTTTTAGTTTCTGTGGTCTTGAGGGAGCTGACTTTCTGGGCTGTGTATTCCTCAGGAATAAAACACTCCCGCAGAGTCGTGAGGGTAAAACCAGTGGAGTGCTTGGAACTTTGTAACAGCAAGCACTACCATAATTGAGAAGTTAGGGCGCAGGCTGTGTTACCCCGACCTCCAGGTGTGAGCCCAGCCGGGATGGGACCTTCCCGGATGGCCCGGGCAGAGGTCAGGTCAGGGGCAAGGGTTTCCTAGAGAAAGGGCTGGGCGCAGTAAGTGACCGGGCCTTCCGGTCCGAGACAATGGAGCAGTGGGTCCCCCACCCCGACCCTAGTGCCCCCTTCTGAGGGAGGAGGCTGCTTTCAGCTACTAGTTTCTCCCACCCAAAGCCAAAGGAGGCAGCCAGCCAACGCCTTCCGGGACGGGCGGGGAGGCTGAGGGTGGCGCCGCCCCTCCGCCTACTCCGCCCCGCGGGTGTGACTGAAGCGGTCCGCCCCCGAATTACCGCCGGCGCGCCGCCGCCGGCCCCGCGCGCGTTCCCAGTGCGAGCACACGTTCCGGGGCCAGCAGCCGGCGGAGAGCGGCCGGAAGGGGCGGGCCTCGCCGCGAGCGCACTGTGCGCCTGCGCCAAAAGCCTCGGTAGAGCGTGACGTCGGAACCCGACCTGGGAGTGCACGTGGAGCGCGGAGCCGCTTGCCAAGGGGGTGTCTCGGGGCCGCAGCCGCTTTCTGGTGAGCCGCGCCGTCGGGTGGGTCTGGAGGAAGCGGGGGAAGCGAGGGTGCGTGTCCTCACCTAGATGGGCGGTGGGGAGGGGGACGCGGTCGAAATGGCGTGAGTCTCAGGGTCCCGTCACTGCGTGTCTTGGAGCTTTGGTCGCGCCTCGGGGGTGGGGGCGGCTGTGGAAATGCTGAATCGAGGTTCTGGTCTGGGCGATCCCCTTATCCCCCCGTGCGGCGAGCCTTAAGCACACGCGACTCTACTTTTCCCCGTTTTTCTTTCCCCCCTTAAGCACACGCGACTCTACTTTTCCCCGTTTTTCTTTTCCCCAGTGCCATGGGGCGCAAGTTGGACCCCACCAAAAAGGAGAAGCGCGGACCTGGCCGAAAGGCACGGAAACAGAAGGGTGCTGAGACTGAACTCGCCAGGTTCTTGCCTGCCGGTGAGCGTCGGTACCCTCCCCCTCCAGTTTTGTGCCATTCTTTCTTCTGTATCATAAGCCCCAAGGTTTTCAGTTTCTGTGTTCACTTTCTGTTAAATTTTATTTGTGTGAAGTTATTTAGGAAATAGCTATGACTGAGACGCTGCCAACAGTGTTCAAAACATTGGAGGAACATGTGGAAGTTGCACAGAGACCTTTGCAAGAACTGTGGTTGAACATTGAAGGAGTTTAGGGGAGGGGGATCTAACCAAGTTAGGTCTTTTTTTTTAAGGTTGATTTATGCATATAAGAACTGGGTTACAGGCCAGAGGTGGGGGCCGTGAAAAGACTCACCAGAGACACTGTGTGGAGCAGAACAGGCAGCTGTACTGAAATACACTGCTAAGGGGAGCAGTGGGCAAGACTGGAGAGGTCTGTGCCATGTGGGTCACCTCCCAAGCGGGGGATTGAACTCATGCTGCAGAGGCTGACAGCAGCTTGATAGCGCTGTCTTTAACCCCGGCACCACCAGGAAATCCCCCCAAGTTAGGCAGAAAATGGTTAACATCTAGCAAGTGGAAGTTGGAAAGGGGGCAGTCACTCGAACTGCTTCTGCAGGAAAGCACAGGTCTAGTTCTCACAGGATAATAGTTCGTGGAGGGCTGGGTGGGAGAAAATGATGGACAGGGACTTCGTGTTGGACACTGGTTAAAAGATGCAGTTTGGACTATTAACAGGGCTGAGGGGCTGTATCTAACCCTTTGGACACGTTTTTGCCCAGTCCTCTGAGTGCCTGGTGATGGCCACACTTCTAAATAGCTGCACAGTTGTTACAGAGATGGGAACAGATTAAGTTGAGAGAAGAGGAACGAGCAGGGAAAAGGGTAAACTTTACCAGGATGGTGATGGTGCTGTATATTAAAGTCAGAAGTTTGGGAGAGGGCCAGATTGGATTGGTTGATCGACAGCCAAGCAGAGACCATCGCCTTTATCGCTCCTGTCTGGCCGCTGGTACAGTACAGTAGCGCTGCCTGTTCCCTTTAACTAGAGTGCTAGGTCTCTTCCTGCTTTTATTTCCTCTCCTTTTTCTGTTTTCCATTCCCCCCTGTAACCTGCTGCCTTGCCCCTCCCCGTCCCCCTTTTCCTTTTTTTTACAGCTGGTGATGGAAGTGCCAAGAGACTGTCCAGCCGTGCTCGAAAGAGGTCAGTGTAGACATTCAGACTTTCCTAGATTAAACTGGTGCTGCTCCCCTTTAGCTGCATGTGGTCTTGTTGATGGCAGGGCTTATGCGGGGGTTTGCACGTCTTGGAGCTGAGGTGGGGAGTGGCAGAACCTAGAGCTGTGTTCCATTTCTTCACTTCTGATACTTTTTCAGGGCAGCCAAGAGGAGGTTGGTTTCTGCTGAAGGCCCTGAGATGAATAAGTCTTCTGGGGCCAAACCATGGCTTGGAAAGCTACCAACAGGTCAGTGGAAATAGGATCTGGGTGCTGGTGGGGAGTCCCGGATTCCAGATAGGGAAGGTCTTGCTGAACATTTCTGGAATGAAAGGAACCACCAAAACACACTTGGTGGGGGAAGTACAGGCTCTGAGGGTGTGGTCTCTGCAGGAGCTGCCCAGACCCCTGGGAAGAAGGCTGCCCCAGCTTTACTTCATGCTGCTCGAGGCAAGAAGCGCCCGGCCCCAGCCCACAGCAGTGAGGAGGAAGAGCAGGAGGACTCCGAAGAGGATGGTCTGCTGAACCAGGGGGAGCTCTGGGACTCTGAGGACAGTGATGCTGACATGATAGATGATTATGGAGCTGATCCCAACGCAGAGGACCAAGATGAGGATGAAGGGGAAGAGGTGAGATTTGTCTCTCCTCAACGTTCAGGGCGGGATCCTTGCCTTTCTGACTCTGAGTTCCCTCGGTGCCAACCCCTCTGTGATAAAGATAGGCTTGAGTGGAGAAAAGGAATTTTGGTGTTCGGTGGTCAGTTACCTGCCAGTTTCTTGTTGTGGCCTCGCTCAAGTTCAAGCGCAGTAGCGCTGTAGGTACATACAGATTTTAAGATGGACAAATGTCCAGTGCTGGTAGGTTGTGGTGAATGGGGCTTATATGCCCCACTGATGAGCACAGGTGAGCAATAAAAAGCTTTTTGGTTTTTAAAAAAGTACAATGTTAGCTCAGTTTTACTGTGTATAGTAAACAGTATTTACGCACAAGTGGACAGTGTGCCTGAAGACCAGTATAGGTAAATAGCCAGACCCCAGGCCCCTACCCTCCACCCCGTCACTAATAAAGTGGCAGCTTCTCAAAGCATAAGGCCCTAGGGAAGCACGCACTGCCTAGCATGGGACGTCCTTGCGGCCTGGTGCTCTTCCTGGTCAGTCTTAACGAAAACTGGGGGTACAAAGCACTACATGGTCTGTACTACTCCGGAAAGCTGTTTGAGCAAGGACTTGAGGCTCCTGCTGACCACTTCGGTATCCATGAAGGACAGGACGCATGCAGAGGGCGAGAGCCAGCACTCGGCAAGGCTGAGGCCTCTGCACCCTGCGGTGGGAGCATGTTGCCTCCTCGACTGGGGAGCTCCCCTGGCAGGGGAGCCCTCTGCCCTGGCACCACCCCAGGGCCTCTGGGGTCTCGAACCACTGGCCTCCAGACATTGCCCACCGTGCTGCTTGTGCTTCATGTCTTTCTCTTGACCTGGTAGTTCTGTTTGGGAAGATAATCCAGAATGTGAATGAAGCTCTTTACTGAGGTGTAAGAAATTGTTTATGCATTGGACAACTAGTATGTGAGTATGTTACTAGAAAAACTCAAGCCTTGTGGAACGGCATAGAGTAAGTTCACACGTGCACCCTTGTCCAACACCCCCCCCTTTTCTCCATAGTTACTAATGAGGTTCTCATTAGTAACTGTATTGCCCAAAGTGTAGGAACTTCCAAAGTACTGAATATGTTTAAGAAAATTGTGGGTCATTCATATAATGAATATCTGAAAATGGCTATAATATCTGAAAATGTTTGTGATCTAGCTATGAATGAAAAAGGTTAGAAAACAGGCTTGAAAATGCACATGATTTTAATTAAAAAATTAGAGTAGATGAAAAGATGACATAATGGATGCCGAAAGACTTTTAAGATTTATATATCTGTATAGAAGAATTGGGGTGTCGCCTAGAGGAGTGAGGGGTGACCAGAAACAGAGTGGGAAGCAGAACAGGGAGATTGACTGAAATACATTGCTGAGGGGAGCAGCGGGCGGGTCAGGAGCGGTCTGTCGCGCCATATTGTGAACTGGCTCCCTGGCCGGGGAGGCCCCAGGGACACTGTTATCTCTTGATATAAATGGGTGTGTAGTCACATTGTAACATTTCCAGTGAAAAAGAGAAATACACTTAAAAGGAAAAACTTAAAAATGAGACCTTTCAACCTGCCACTCCCTTTCAACAGTGATGAGCATTGGGCCGTCTTTCTCACTTCTTTAGTGCAAGTGCTAGGTTTTAATTAGGGGAAAAGGCAGGAATAGAAAGTAGTGGGTGGGATGGTGCGTGGGCAGGCTTGCATTCCTACTCTCTGTCTTTCAGCTGCTGCCCATCGAAAAGGCTGCTCGGAAGCAGAAGGCCCAGGAAGCCGCTGCGGGGTGAGTTTGGGAAACTCCTAGGAGCGGCAGTTAGGAGGAAGCTGTGAGGAAGGAGAAGGTATCTGCTTTGACCTGTGAATCACTGTTGCTGCATCTGCTTTTAGGGTCCAGTGGAGTGAGGAGGAGACTGAAGAGGAGGATGAAGAGGAGGATGAGACTCCAAAGCCAGGCGCTCAAAAGGATGAGGAGGACGATGGGGGTCTGCAGCTCAATGTGGAGGAGGAGTCTTTTGTGCTGCCCCCTGCTGGGGAGGTGGAGTGTGATATCCTTCCAGGGCACAGTGAGGGCACCCAGGGAAGGTGCTGTGGGGAGGAGGGGCTTTCTAGGACCTGAGCCCCCATGAGCCAGTTCCTTAATGGCGCCACATGCCCAGGGTCTAGACTTGCAGCGAGTGCACAAGCGCATCCAGGACATAGTGGGAGTGCTGCGTGATTTTGGGGCTCAGCGCGAGGAAGGTCGGTCTCGTGCTGAGTATCTGAAGCGACTTCAGAAGGATCTGGCTACTTATTATTCCTATGGAGATTTCCTGCTTGGCAAGCTTATGGACCTCTTCCCTTTGTCTGAGGTACAGTTACCAGTCTGACACTTCTGCTTTTCTTTTATCACATCTTTTTTTATCCTGTGTAAGGAAGGTGGCCAGCCCCCTACTCCTTTTCTGGTTGGGCTCCTTGGCCAACCTGACGTGCTCCCTGCCGTCTTACTTTCCCAGCTGGTGGAGTTCCTAGAAGCTAATGAGGTGCCTCGACCCATTACTCTCAGGACCAATACCTTGAAGACCCGGCGTCGAGACCTTGCTCAGGTGATGGGGTGGGCTTTAAGGTTGGCTTATGTCAGGAAGGTTTGGACTTCCACTAACCTTGAGACTCTTTTGAGTGGGGTCTCGACATCCAGGCATTTCCTGGTACAGGCATTACCCTAGGAAGCAAACCCAGACAGGGCTGGTGGCATGTGGGGCCTGCGACCAGCCTGGGGTTTGTGTGGTATAGGACGCTTCTCCTGTGACAGGCCTGAGACGTGTGCTTCAGGACAAAATGCTTCCTCAGGCATAAATGAGAGCAGTTGTCAGCTTTTTAGATTCTTGAGAAGCCTGTGGAACTGAGTCCTGCTCCTAGAAGTCACGGCACACAAACACATTCTCTCAAGCTCTTGCTTTTTTTTTTTTAAACAATTTATTTTTATTTTATTTATGCATGCAACATCAGGGGTCTAGACCAGAGGTGTGGGGAGTGAGAGGATTCACCAGAAACAGGATGGGGAGCAGAACAGAGGGATGTACTGAAACGCACTAGTGAGGGAAGCAATAGGAGAGGTCTGCTGTGGCATGTGGGTCAGCCCCCTGGCCTGGCCAGGGATCAGACTCCTGCTGCAGGGGATGGTGCTTGATAGAGCTGAGACTTATTAACTCTTGTGCCACCAGGGAGCCCCCTTCAATCAAGCTCACGAATTTGAACTGTGGGTATAAGACGGTTTCTGAGATTCAGGGCCCTATTCTGGTCCTCCATGGTGGTGTGACAGGTTTAAGCACAGTACTATGAAGCTGCTTGCAGCCACTGCAGCACGAGTTCTGCTCCCCGGCCAGGGAGCTGACCCACATGGTGCGGCAGACCTCTCCTGACCCGCCCGCTGCTCCCTCAGCAGTGTGTTTCCTCCATACACCTGCCTGTTCTGCTCCCTGCTCTGTCTCTGGTGAATCTTCTCACTAGGGTACAGGCCACACCTCTGGCCTGTACCCTAGTTCTGTATGCATAAATAAATAAATCTTTAAAAAAATAAACAAAACATAAAAGACCCCTATTCAAAAGTCAACGGTCCTGTAAGTTGTGTACCTCCTGGTAGGGAGATTAGCTGACAATTGCCTATTTTAAGAGCTATAACCAATAACATTAAATTTCAGAGCAGTAAGGAGACTGACTCCCTTAGAAAATCAGAGTATACGTGTAAAGAAGTAAAAGAAAGGGATCTAGCGGTCTCTTCCATCGGCATGGAGTTAGAGCGTGAAGCGAAGGAATGGGGTCCCAGGGGAGGAGGGCTGGAGGCGTCTGTCCAGCAAGTCCGTGACGTTCCTGTTAGCAGAGCGGGAAGAGTTGGTGTGCAGCCGGCCCTCCTGGTGGGACCAGGTTTCCATCTCTCTGCTTGAGCTTGGGGCGTTGTGACCTCTGAGGTTCTGAAGTCTTGATCCTTCTCATCTTCAGGCGCTGATCAATCGTGGGGTTAACCTGGATCCCTTGGGAAAGTGGTCAAAGACTGGACTGGTGGTATATGATTCTTCGGTGCCCATTGGTGAGTGTTCCCTGCCCACTCGCCCTTCCGTCCCCGCCCCCGTCCCAGCGTGTCACAGGCAGGTGCTCCTCCACAGGTGCTACTCCCGAGTACCTGGCTGGACACTACATGCTGCAGGGCGCCTCTAGCATGCTGCCTGTCATGGCCTTGGCACCCCAGGAACATGAGCGCATCCTGGACATGTGCTGTGCCCCTGGAGGCAAGACCAGCTACATAGGTAAGAGGAGGGCAGGTCAGGCGCGGCTGGTGCTGTGCTCTGAGGGCAGACGGGGCTGAAGACTCGTGCTCGGCAGCTGGCAGAGCTGAGGGGAAAGGGGCTTGGGCTCTGGAGTCGGCCTGGGTTCTGGCCCCGTGGGTGCCCCTTACGCTCCGATGGCCGTGGGCATCCTGCTCTGCTTCCGTCATCGTGGCGGGGGCTTGTAGTTGCACTTGGTTGGCCATTACACTAGGCGTGGCTTGAGGTGAGATCGTCCCTTGAAGTGTGGCCGCGTGCTAAGTCATCCTAACCATTTTCCTAAATTAACAGTTAAAAAAAGTGGGGTCACGTAAAAAAATGCAGGGTCAGAGAGATGTTCAGGAAGACTGAACACATCCGGAGGCTTGCTCAGCACCAGGGGCATTGCAGACGGGACCGGCTGTCCTGTAGGCCACGGGGCGCATGCGTCCTGGCAGCAAAGTTGGCCGTGAAGTGATGAGGCTTCACTTGTGGATCCTGGGCTGGAGGGGGCTGGCTGGCGTGGAGGCCGAGGAGCTGCCTGGTGAGCGCTGTGCCCGCACCCCAGCCCAGCTGATGAAGAACACGGGTGTGATCCTTGCCAACGATGCCAATGCCGAGCGCCTCAAGAGCGTCGTGGGCAACCTGCACCGTTTGGGCGTCACCAACACCATCATCAGCCACTATGATGGGCGTCAGTTCCCCAAGGTGGGTCTCCCTGCTGCAGCTTTCCTGAGGCGCCTCCCAGTTCACCTCTCCCCTTCCTGACATCAGAGTGGAGAGTATGGACGTAGGAAATCAACGGTGCGTCCAGATGGTTCATCTGGTTGCCCTCCTCTTCTAGGTGGTGGGGGGCTTTGACCGAGTCCTGCTGGACGCGCCCTGCAGTGGCACTGGGGTCATCTCCAAGGACCCAGCTGTGAAGACCAACAAGGTAAGCTGGTGAGGGGTGAGCTGAGCCAGGAGGGGAGGTGGGGAGCACTGAGCGGTCAGTAGGTCACCTCTCCTCAGGCCACCCTTTTAGGGGTGGCACTTGTGTTGAGGTGGCTGGCGACAGCTTGATAGCGCCACCAGGGAGCCCTCCTCAGGCTGCCCTTTGAACCCCAACCCGTGGCTCCCCCCTTGGCCAGGATGAGAAGGACGTCCTGCGCTGTGCCCACCTTCAGAAGGAGCTGCTGCTGAGCGCTATTGACTCCGTCAACGCGGCCTCCAAGACGGGAGGGTACCTCGTCTACTGCACCTGCTCAGTCATGGTGAGGCCGCGCGCGGGCCGCGGGGCGTGGCTGGGAGGCTGTCCCCGGGCCCACCTGCACTTTTCCTCCTGTCACTGTCTCCTGTGTCCAGGTAGAAGAGAATGAGTGGGTGGTAGACTACGCCCTGAAAAAGAGGAACGTGCGTCTGGTGTCCACAGGGCTAGACTTCGGCCAGGAGGGGTTTACTCGCTTTCGAGAGAGGCGCTTCCACCCCACACTGCGTTCCACCCGCCGCTTCTACCCTCACACCCACAACATGGATGGTTTCTTCATTGCCAAGTTCAAGAAATTCTCTAATTCTATCCCCCAGGCCCAAACAGGTGAGGGACCTGCTCTCTCTGCCCGCAGCGCCGCCCTGGCTCTGCCTCCCGAGCCGCCCCCGTGGCTGCAGGGCCGGGAAGGTGTGGCCTCCCTCGCTTCAGGCTGCGCACCTGTGCGAGAGCCCCTCCTCGCAGCCTGAGACCTTCCAGGATGGGCTCACGGTCGGGACCTTCTCCGGAATTGTGCCGAGCGGCTGCAGTTGCCAGCTCTGAGCGGCTCCCCGTCTGGGTTGTGGTTTCTCATCCTGCGTGGCCCAGGGCCGCCTTCCTGCTGAGAGCCTTCTGCGGGGCCGTGTTCTCAGCACTGGCTTGGCACGGGGCACCTCAGAACTCAGCAGTGCTCTCAGCCCATCCCACTCATTGCAGACCATCTTCTGTGCCATCTGGAGGATCTGGTCTGATCTCCAGGGGGAGGGCTGGGTTTTTTTTGATACAGGTCTAAGAGCTGTTCATGCTGGGATAGCTGAAGAGGGCGAGGCAAGCTTCTCTGAATATAGCTGTGTGACTTACTGAGTTGCTTTTTTCCTCCTTAACGCCCCTTAAAATTGCACATTTGGCTGTTAATGAAAACTTGGAAAAGAGCCAAAATTGTCTTAACTTTGAAAGTACATGCTAAATGTCATTATATCTTAGTGGCTTGTTTCTAGTTGCTGTTTGTGCCTTATTTGTCTGTGTTTCATCAGACTTCATATAAAAAAATTGTTCTGGTTAAAGAAAAACCTGGTGCTCCAGGTTTATTTAGAACTCACCTCCTCCTAGGTGCCCTCAAGAGGGCGCAGCTTCCTCTGAAAACCTTTTGACCCAGGGATGGGTGGAGATCCCTTCTCTTGAGTAGAAGGCTCAAATACAACTTGAGTAAGAGTGTAAGAACATAGGTGGTCGCCTCTGAGGTGAGGCGCTGTGCTTGGTGCCTGGAACACTGGTCAGTTTCCAAGCAGGTTCTGTGTTTACTATCTCTGTTTACCTTCTCCACTGAGATTGAGGCCCTTTTTAAAAACTTTGTATTTTTAAAGATTTATTTATGCTTACAGAACTGGGTACAGGCCAGAGGTGTGGATGGTGAGAGGATTCATCAGAGGCAGAGTGGGGAGTAGAACAGGCAGATCAACAGAGTACACGGCTGAGGGGAGCAGCGGGCGGGTCAGGAGAGGTCTGCCGGGCCATGTGGGTCACCTCTGGGGCAGGGATCGAACTCATGCAGCAGTGGCTTCTGAGAGCTTCATAATGTGGTGCTTCAAGCTGTTCTGCCACCAGCGAGGGCCCTAAAAAATGTTTGATTTTAACCCTAGGAGATTCTGCAGCATCCACTCCTTCCAACCCAGCGTCTGGCCTGAAAGGTCAGGCAGCCCCCAGGCCCCAGAGCAGCGGCCCGCCCGCCAAGAAGGCCAGGGTGGCTGTGAAGACAAAGCAGCAGGCGAAGAAGCAGTCACATCCCTCGAAGGTGTCCTTGCAGAAGCACAATGGCGTCTCCACAGGGACAGACTCTGAGCTGTCCTCTGTGCCTCCTGTCACAAAGGTCCAAACGTCCTCCAAGCACCAGGACAGCCCTCGGCCAGCTGAGAGAGCTAAAGTGACCGGCCAGCCAAAGGTGACTGGGAAACGGAAGCAGCAGCCACCAGCACTGCAGTCCTCCGGCACAGTGGCTTCCTTGGGGCAGAAGGCGCCTTCCAGGGGCGCAGACGCGGAAGCACCTGCTGGGCTGTCCCGCTCCAAGACTCGGGTCACGCCGAAACCTGAGCGCCATGCTCAGCCCCTTGGCAGGACCCAGGGGTCTCGCAAGGCCAATCAGCCTTTCAAGCAGGCTGCCTTTCAGAGACAGAATGGCACCCCCAAGGGACCTAAGGCTCCTACCACGTCCCCCAACAGTTCCAAACGACCCCCAGCAGCAAAGAGGAGAAAATCTCAGCCCAGAGGCAACAGCCAGCCGCCGCTGTCCTGATGGATAACAGACCGAGCTGCTGGGTGCTGGGCCCTGCTCGGGACTCTTAGGGTGCCGACTCACGGCGTAAACGTGAAATTTAATACACATTTTTACAACCCCTGGCTGCTGTGTGTCAGTCTTTGAGGGGACTGGGCTGGCTTTGCTGCCGAAAGGGTAGGGATGGGGAGGTGGGCAGGGGTCCGGGGAAGAAGCAGGGGCAGTGGTTGGTGCGCTGAGAATCATGTTGCTGTAAGGCTCCCAGGGACCCAGAGAGTCAACTAGGGTGTAAGGGTGGGGGTGTGGGGTGGAGCGTTAGGGGTGCAGGAAGATGGGCTCCCCACCAGCTGAACCCTGGGGCGGGGGAGAGCGGGTTTTCTGCCCTGGCAGTCTTGGCTGAATTCCAGGCACCTTCTGGGGTCCCCCAAGAGGAAGGAACCCACTCAGACCCGGAACAGTCCTGGTGCCAGCCTCCGGCTTCCCCCTTTCATTGGCTTTCTCTCTGCCCACCACCGCCCCCCTGACCTCTGCCCTTCCCGTCGAGCCGTCGATTGGTTGCCCGGGTGCCCGGGGCGCCTCATTGGCTGGGCTCCGTCGCCCTCCATCCCGGCTCTGCGCTGGTCTCCATCTCCCAGCAGAAGGCGCAGCCATGAATCCGTTATTCGGCCCCAACCTCTTCCTCCTGCAGCAGGAGCAGCAGGGCCTGCCCGGGCCGCTGGGGGACCCACTGGCCAGCGACCACTTTGCCGGGGGAGGGGACGTGACTCCGGCTCCGCTCTCGCCCGCCGGCCCGCCTCCCTACTCGCCGCCCGGCCCGGGCCGGACGCCCCCCGCCGCCATGGCGCTCCGCAACGACCTGGGCTCCAACATCAACGTGCTCAAGACGCTGAACCTCCGCTTCCGCTGCTTCCTGGCCAAGGTGCATGAGCTGGAGCGCCGCAACCGACTGCTGGAGAAGCAGCTGCAGCAGGCGCTGGAGGAGGGTAAGCAGGGCCGGCGGAGCCTGGCTCGCCGCGACCAGGCCGTGCAGACCGGCTTCATCAGCCCCATCCGGCCCCTGGGGCTGCCTCTGGGCGCCAGGCCGGCCGCGGTGTGCACCCCGTCGGCGCGCGTGCTGGGCTCGCCGGCGCGCTCGCCCGCCGGCCCCTTGGCGTCGCCGGCCGCCGGCCTCTCGTCGTCCGCCTCTTCCACCTCTACCGCCTACTCCTCATCGGCCCGCTTCATGCCCGGCACCATCTGGTCCTTCTCTCACGCCCGCCGGCTGGGGCCGGGACTGGAGCCCACGATGGTGCAGGGGCCTGGCCTGTCGTGGGTGCACCCGGACGGGGTGGGCGTCCAGATCGACACCATCACCCCCGAGATCCGCGCCCTCTACAACGTGCTGGCCAAAGTGAAACGCGAGCGGGACGAGTACAAGCGGAGGTAGGGCCTGGGGAAGAGAAGATTAAGGGGGCCAGGAAGGTGGGGGCCGGGCTGTGTCATCCCACAGAGGGCCGGGACGCGGGTGCCCTCCAGGAGAAGGCGCAGTTGGGCCCCCAGAAAGAGGGAGGAATGAAATGCACGTCCTTCTAAGGAGCAGTGGGGAAGGGGAGACCCTTGGGGAAGGGGAGACCGGAGTCCCCAGAGAATGCTAGGGGCACTCCTGCCAGGATAGCGTGAGGAAGTCTCACTCCCTGCTCCCTTCCGTCTCTGGGCCCCTGGGCGCGGTGTTGGGGTGACTGTGTTGAAAGGGACTCAGGTCTGACAAGTCACGTCTGGGGTACGGCTTATCCACGCCACTCTCAGCCCTCAGTAATTGTGTGCTCATTGGCTCCACAGCTTGATCCAAGGGTAGAGGCCAGAGCTCTAGCTTTAACTCGGGAGGCCAAAGGGAATGAGAAGGGGCGGTGAGGGCGGCTGGCCTCACTGGCCAGGCTGCTTCCCGGCCCAGGACTGGCGGAACCTGGGTGCGGTTGTGGTGCTGTACCAAAGGCCCCGGGGCCTCAGGGCGCTGCTTGAGGCGGCCCAGAAAATGGGGAAAGAGGGAGTAAAGGGAATTCCCTAGGGGAAGGGAAGGGCCTGGTATTGTCACAGCTAGGGCACTGTGAGCCGCGGGAGCCAGCAGCCGGAGAAGTGTGACCAGAGCCGGCAGAGGACGGGGAAAGGAGCCGGAGGAAGGTGGGAGCATGGACACACCCTTGAGTGTAAGGAGAGCAGAGCCTGCGGCTGGCACCTTCCAAGGGCCTAGGAAGGACGCGGTGCTCGCATGCTGTGTACCAAGTGGATCCTGTCGAGGGCCTGAGCAGGCCCTTCAGCAGGATCTCGCCCACTGGCTGGCTCTGTAGACGGCCGGGTGGTGAGGAAGGCCATGGCAGGTGTGAAGGCTTAGCTCCGGGAGCCCTCAGGTTTAACCTCTTCCTGGCTCCTCTGACCCCTAGTGGACAGGCCTGGGAACTGCAGTTGCAGAGTCACCCAGGTTCCTGTCCTAGCAGTGGGTGAGGATTGGCTGGGAAATTACTGCTGGGCCTGGGGGCGACCTTCAGGGCTCTGTAACCCACCAGAGGCCTGCACATTGCAGGGCAGCTGGCTTTCTGGGGTGGCATCCTGCGCTCGTGGCGACTTGTCCTAGTAGTGGTCCCAGGACTGGCTGGGAGTCCCGGTAAATATACCAAGGTGTCATTCGATGCCACCAGAGCCTGTCCAGGAGTTAATTGACGCAGCCAGCAGCAGAACATGGGCAGTTCTGGAATGTACCCATAACCACAGGAACAACTGCTGTCCTCAGGACCCTTTAAAAAAATAACAAAAACAACTGATACGGTGTTTGTCCTTGGCCCAGCTGTCCAGGGCAGCAAAGAGTTATTCCTCGGGGCTGGTGAGCTCATGGCTCTGCGCACTGCTGTGTGGGGCGGGCAGCTGAGGGTTTGGGACGTGTCACCGGCGGTTACGCATTCGTCCAGCCCAGATCCCTGCCCCAGTTCTCGTCTCTACAGAGTGTAGCCTTTGCAGCTCCGGCTCCTCTTCAGCACTAAACTGGGAAGGAGCTGAGGCCTCGTGGGTCCTACTTTCAGCCATCCTACCTTGTCTGACCTTGGGGGGAAGGGCCCCTTTTTTGGGTCTCCTATGTAGGATTGGCCCAGGCTTCCTCAGTTCCCTCAAGGATGCCATTTGTTTGGAAGAGAGTTATTTAGTAAATGTAGAGTATGTGGAAACTACCCCAGTCCTACCCACATCAAGGGAACCCTGTCAGACCAGATTCGAATGGAGGTCAAAGTGAACCTACTTGTAGAAAAGTAGGTTCCGGCTAGAGAGCAAGTAAAATTCCAGTGAGCTTCCAGATAGTTTATTTCCTGATTTTTTTTCTTCTTCACCGTGTAAAACTTCCTTACTGATGCTTTCTTCCTGAACAAGGGCGCTGGCAGGCAGCTCCCCCTTCCCTCCCTCGCTGCCCGACGCAGCTGTCCAAGTTGCTATCCCTGGTCAGTCCTGCTTTCTTCCCCCAGGGACTGCTGGGGTGTGAGGGGGACCATATCCTGTGGCTTCACGTGGTAGAAGGATCTGGGGGGGCCAACGGGGGGTGAGCAGGGAGCTGGGCCGCATGATGAGGCGGCAGGGCGGTGGCCGGGCTGCCTGCCTTTCCCTGCCCAGCCGGGAGGCGGCCCAGCGATGCAGAGGAGTTATTATTAGGAATGCTGCAGTGCGGATCTGGGTGAGGCGCGCCGGAGAGCGGAGAGGAGGCAGGCGGCTCAGGGGAGCCAGCAGGGCAGGCAGGGAAGCTGGAAGGCGTGGAGAAGGATCCAGGATGTGCCCTCTGGGCCTGTCGTGTCCTTGCCGGCCTCTGCTACCTCCTAAGCGCCTTCCTGGCCCGGAGGCTTCTCGCTGGGTACAGCCCTCTCCTTCCTGCCCAACGTGTGGAGACGCAATAGGTTATGTGAACTGGGCCCGAGAAGCTCTGCCATTCCCACCAGCCTTGTAGGGTCCTGGGGTCCTCGGCGTGGCGTCGACCCACCCCTGCCCTTCACCTCAGGATGCCTGCAGTGTGCCACAGCTTACGATGCACCGTGCCCGGGAAAAGACCCGGCCGATGCCAGTTGTAGTTCTCATCTGCGAGATGAGCAGCGCACAGCCCTGCGCCTCAGTTTCTCTTTCCCTCTGGGTTGGGGTGCTTGTAACCCCAGGCCCTGCTTTCTGTGGCTTCAGTGCCTCAGGGCCAGCCCCGCCGCCTCTGGGTGGGCCGTTTCTGGGGCTCTGTGGGGGTGACTGAGCTTCCTGCCAGGCTCGTGACCATCTCTGTTGATGCGGTGTGTGTCCTGCAGCTGCTTTTCCAGGGTTAAATGGTTCCCCAGGAGTCAGGGCAGCGGGCTAGAGGAGCTTGGTGCTGGTGCGGGCAGGAGGCGGGAGACCGGATCTGTGGACTGAAGGTGGGAGACCGGGCCGGGCGGGCCTGTGGTCTGGTGGGGGCAGGAGTGGGGGGAGCCGGCCTGCGCAGCTGCTGGTGTGGCGTCCGGGCCAGGTGTCGGGAGGCAGCTGGTGAGCTGGCACCGGCCCGGGACGGTGGTGCCGACCAACAGCTGCGGGCGGGAGGCCGGAGGGGCCCGTGCACCGCTCTGACCGCCCCGAGCTGGATCCCTCAGGGCCTGAGGCCTGAGCCAAGCGGAGGGGGCAGGGCACCCCAGTGGCCCGAGGGACCCTGCAGCCAGCGCTCTCCCTCCTCCCCGTGCCTCCAGGTGGGAAGAGGAGTACTCGGCGAGGGTGCAGCTGCAGGAGCGCGTGGCGGAGCTCCAGGAGGTGAGGCCCCCGCGCCCTGGCACCCCTCCGGCCTTGGCCTCCTTCCCGCCGTGGCAGCACGGCTGACGGGGGGCTTTCTCCCGGGCTGTAGGAAGCCCAAGAGGCTGACGCCTGCCAGGAGGAGCTGGCGATGAAGGTGGAGCAGTTGAAAGCGGAGCTGGTGGTCTTCAAGGGGCTCATGAGCAACGTGAGTGCGGGCACCTCGCTCTGCCCCAGGCGCTGCCCACAGGCTGCCGACCGGCTGCTAGGCCTGTCAGGTTCCGGCCCTGCCCTCTGACTTCCTGTCCGCCGCCACCGCCCGCCACGTTGATGCGCTTCCCTTTTTTCCTCCCGCCACCCCCTATTTCGATAGGAAAAAAGGAACAAAAAGCCCTAGCGTGTCCAGGGGCCAGTGAGGCCGCCGTCATTAAGAGGTGCGGAGGTGCCCGCTGGGAGCAGAGCCGGGCCCGCGCCCCCTGCACGTGGCCTGACGCCCGGCCTGCGCGTCCTCACCTGCGATGGGCAGCAGAGGCGTGTTCTCTGCAGAAGGACCATGGAGCTCGTGGCGGGCCGAGGGCCCGTGAGCTCGTGCTTAGCTGGTGCGGAGCGTGTTGGGCTCGCTCCACTCCCGTAGCTCCCACAGGCCCCTCTCTGGAAACAAGCTCTGGGGAGGAGGGTGCCCGCTCTGCGGGGGCTTCCCGGCCAGGGAGCCAGTGGCAGGAGCAGCCCAGTGTGGCCGTGGGGAGGGCACCGGACAAGTGACACCTCTGCTCGGAGGAAGCGATGGGCCGTGCGGCTGGGGACCCCGCCAGGGCCTCGGCCGCCCGCGTCTGGGGTGCTGGGACCTCACCGGTCCCGTGTTCCCTGCGCAGAACCTGACGGAGCTGGACACGAAGATCCAGGAGAAGGCCATGAAGGTGGACATGGACATCTGCCGCCGCATTGACATCACCGCCAAGCTCTGTGACGTGGCTCAGCAGCGCAACTGTGAGGACATGATCAAGATGTTCCAGGTGCGGGCACTGGGCTGCCCCGGACCCGGGAGGGGCCGGCCCCGGCCTGGCCCACGCCTCCCTGGTGCCCGGCCCTTCGGGGGGGAGGGGGCAGCAGAGGAGCGCCATTGCTGCTGCCCACACGGCACAGGCCGCCCTCCGCCTGGGGGACCCTGTCTTGGCAAGTGGGGCTCCCTGGGATTCGGCCGGGGGGCAAGGAGGCAGCCTCTGTGGAGAGGTTGAAGCGGTCTCTAATGCCGTCTCTCCCTCCCCTCTCTCTCTCCTCTCTCCTTTTCATCTTCTCTGGCTTTCTCCACAGAAGAAGCTGGTTAGTTTTGCTCTCACGCAAGCTTATTAACGTCCCAGTCCCAGTCTCTAAGCCACCTGTCAGTTTTGACCTGCTGGGCTTTTCAGCACAGACTTCTCCCCTTTTTGATTTTCCTTGCTCCCCTCCACCCTTTTCCCCTTTCTCTCTGCTCCCTTCTTCTCTGCCTCTTCTCCCTCTGGCTTTCCAGATACGGAGATGTGATTCGGGTCCTCCTCCATGAACACTGTCTTTCTCCTCCTTGCAGCCTAACACTTTCTTTTCAGTTCGGTCATTTCATTAGAAAAACTTTTTTAGAACAAAGCGCCCTCTCTAGCCACGCCGGCCCCGCGCTGTTTCTCCCCCCTCAGTCTGCAGCCCTGCCCCGTCGTGTCTGTCTGCCCCTCTCTCGGTGACTCTGGTGTCTCTGTTCTGCCGTTGTAACTGTGTCTTCTCTCTGTCCCGCCCGCCCCCCGCTGGTTCACGCCCCCCTGCCCCGCCCCCGCCAGTGCCCGCCCGCCCTTTCTCCTCATGCACCCGGCCTCGTCTCTGTAGTCTCTGCACTTGTCTCCCATCAAGGTCCCATCCATGGGGGGGCGGAAGCGGGAGCGCAAGGCTGCCGTCGAGGAGGATACCTCCCTGTCCGAGAGTGACGGGCCCCGCCAGCCCGATGGGGATGAGGAGGAGACCACAGCCCTCAGCATCAACGAGGAGGTGCAGCGCATGCTCAACCAGCTGTGAGTCCCGCAGGCCGCCCCCAGCGCCCCCACCCCGAGGCCGGAGCCCCCACGGCCCCCTGGCCAGGACGCAGGCCCCCAGCCGCCTTGACACGCGGGCTCCCTGTCTCCAGGAGGGAGTATGATTTTGAGGACGACTGTGACAGCCTGACTTGGGAGGAGACTGAGGAGACCCTGCTGCTGTGGGAGGATTTCTCGGGCTATGCCATGGCAGCGGCAGAGGCCCAGGGAGAGGTAACGCCCCTCCCGGCCTGGGGTCCCAGTCTGCCGCTCCAGCCCCCTGCCCTGTGTCCTCTCGCTCCTCGCTGTTTCCCTCTGTGGCCATCATCCTCGCCTGCTTCTCCCTCTTCCTTCGTCCTCTGCGTTGGTCCTCCAGTTCCCTTTGATCGAAGGCTCGTTCTCTCTCTCTCTCTCTACCCACCTCCCCACCTGCCTCGGCCCCCCCCCCCCCCCCCCCCCGGCTGCCCTTTCTACTCCAGCAGCAGGAAGACAGTTTGGAGAAGGTGATTACAGACACCGAATCACTGTTCAAAAGCCGGGAGAAAGAGTATCAGGAGACCATCGACCAGATAGAGGTACGCGAGGGCCTGAGCTGGCGCCACCATTGGCCAGGCTGAGTCAGGCCTCGGGGACTTAAGGCCTCAGCCTAGCTCAGGCCACGCTGCGGGAGGCTCTCCTGAGAAGCCACTTACCCTCTCTCAGCTGCTTCCTTGTTTGTAAAATAGGGACTGTAGCAATACCTCTTCCTGGGGTGGTTTTGAAGTGCAAATGGAATAATGAACATGCAGATCTCAGCTCAGCTTGCCCCTTGCAGTCAGTCTGTGGCTGATGGTGGTGATGCTGGCTTTGAATGCGTTAGCTCAGCTCATGAGCTAGTTGGAGGGATCCTTATTCCTCAGCCTTGAGGAAAGGTCTCAGATGGCCAGGGCTGCTGGTGCTTTGAACTCGAGGCCTTGGGGTCTCCCTGCTGGCACTGGAGTTTAAGTAGCAGCACTAGGAAGCTGTCCACAGCCACCCAGCGCGAGTTCAATCCCCCGGCGTGGGGAGTGACCCACATGGGGCCACAGACCTCCCCTGGCCCACCGGCAGTGTATTTCAGTCAGTCTGCCTCTTCTGCTCGCTACCCTGTCTCTGCCGAATCCTCTGATCCCCCACACCTCAGGGGACTGTGGGGGCTCTGGCCTGTACCCCAGTTCTGTATGCATTAATGAACAAATCTTTTAAAACAACAACAACAAAACTTGAGGCCTTTAGGAGTTGCACCCCTATGGAGGGAGCAGTGGGAGAAGGGTTGGCTGTGGCCCTGTGATCCCCTCTGCCTGTGCTGTGAGGGCCCCTCTCGGGCACTCTGGGGGGGGCCGGGGGAGGGGGGGCTGCACCTCTGTCACAGCCCCTCGCTCAAGCCCACAGGCACACGTACGCTCAGTTTGCTCACACACCTGCGTTTTGAGAAGGAAGTCGAGAAATGCGTTTTCTCCATACTCATTTTCCCAACACCTATCAGGTGGTTCTGTCCTTCAGAGAAAGCTGCCTTTGGTTTCTCACCTTGGTGATGAATGCTAAGGTGCGAAGTCTTCTTCTTCTTTTTTTTTAAAGATTTTTTTCTGTATACAAGAGTGGGAGTGTTGGCCAGGGTGTGTGTGTAGGGAGGTGGTGAGAGGATTCACCAGGGACCGAGTGAGGAGCAGAACAGAGGGATCTACTGAGACACACTGCTGAGGGGAGCAGGGGACGACACAGGCGAGGTCTGCTGCGCTGTGAGAGTCAGCTCCCGGGTGGGGGATCGAACTCGTGCTGCAGTGGCGGTGGACAGCTTCCTAGTGCTGAGACTCAACCCCTTGCACCACCAGGGAGGCCCAAGTAATTGCCAAGTCTTCACGGCGGATTTATTTGCAGTCTTAAACCCGTATTTATGCTACCAGTTAAGGAAGGGGGCTGTCTCCACTCTTCACCTACTCCATTTATCCCCACCTGCCTCCTGTCTGCCTCTCCCATCTCTTCTGGGTAGTGGAGTTAAAGTTTTATGTCTTTACTGCCCCTTTAACCAAGGCAGGGCCTTGGGGCAGAGTTTGGGGCTGCCTGTCTGCTCGGCCAGAATGCATTGGACTAGAATGCATTGCTCAGAACATGATGTGAAAAGAAAGGAGAATCCCACGTGGAAGCGTGCTTTCTGAGGGGCTGTGAAGCCCCCCTCGTCTTGTCTCCAGTGGAATGCCACCTGGGAGGGCTCGGGGGAGCTGACGCATGGCTCCTCTGGCCGCCTGGGGTCCCTCTATCGTTGTGACCTTTGACGTGCCAGGAGCAGGTCCCGTTATTGATGGTCTGGCCAGGGCGAGGGTGGGGGGCAGCCCTTGTGTCCAGTCCTTTCCTCTCTTCCTACTGCCGCTGAGGGGCACAGAGGCCCGGGTGGTTGTGGGCGTCTCCTGCTTGGGGCCGTCTCCTGACCGCTTCCCTGCTTCAAATGAATGAATTTGGGCAACTTGCAAGTAGAGCCAACTGGCCGTCCCCACCTTGTATTTTGAGGATCTCCATGGTTCGTTTCCTCCTTCCTGTCCCTCTTGAGTGAGGCACCAGAACCCAGCGCCCCCAACCCTGCTCTCCCGAAGTGGAGATTTGGGGTGTCGGTGGCAGGGGACCGCACGAGGGCTGGTGGCCCCCGGTCTCTGTGAGAGCGCAGTGGGCGCCGCCCGGCCGCCCTGGCTGAGCCGTGGGAGATGCCCGAGGGAGCCTCTGTTGGAGCTGGACTCACTAGGCTTGGGCCACCCCCAGCCCCGGCCCCGGCCGCCCCCTCCTCCCCAGTGAGCTGTCCTGGCTGACTCTTTTGTCAGGCCCTGTGACCCATTTACTTGGTCCTGTGTCTGTCCGAGGCCAGTTCACATTATTCACGGCCACTTTCCTCCCCTTCCCTTAGCTCCCAGGCCACAGCTTATTCTTCTTCCCTTCCTGGCCCCTGGCCTTTGTACCCAAACAAAGAGAGGCAGAGATTGTTTCTGGCCCAGATATTTTACCGCCTTTCGCTGCCTCTCAGCACCACGCGAGATGTGCAGGCAAGGTCGGACTTGGGGCTTGGGGGAGCCTGTCTTGTTTTGAGTCTGATTCCCCCAGTTTTCCTCAAGTAGGTTTTTTTTTTTTTAAAGATTTATTTGTACTTACAGAACTGGGGTACAGGCCAGAGGCTCAGGGGCGGTGAGAGGCGTCACCAGAGACAGAGTGGGGAACAGAACAGACAGATCGATGAAGTACACTGCAGAGGGGAGCAGCGGGCGGGTCAGGAGAGGTCTGCCCACCATGTGGTCACCTCCGGGGCAGGCGGGGATCGAACTCATGCGGAAGTGGCTTAGGCTTCTCAGTGCTGCGCTTTAACCCGCTGCGCCACCAGGGAGGGCCTCAAGTAGGGTTTTAAAATTCAGAACACATCTTTTCACCAATGGGACATTATATCTGGCATGTTGGCCCCTGAAAATGCCTTGTAAGTGAAAAAGTTCAAAGGAGGAATGAGGAGAATCCGCAGCGAGGTTGCGATTCTCTGAGCTCTGCGCCTTGTTAATGAATAAATCCCCCGTCAAGCGCCGGTGAGCACACGGAGAGGTGGGAAGCCCTGGGCCCAGTGCTTGCAGCAGCTCCCTGCCCTGAGGGACACAGGGCTGGGGGGGGGGAGCTCAGCACTGGGGGGAAGCCAGGAGCACAGGGACCCTCGGGGAGGCCCTCTGCAGCCTGCCCCCTGCTGGTGAGTGCAGGCCTGGAGCTGCAGCCTGGGTACTCCCTGGGGGCAGGATGCCCAGGAAAACCACTCTGGTAATGTGCCTGCCACCACAGCAGGCTGATTTTCTAAAAAATATTTATGTATGCATGTAGAACTGGGTTTCAGGCCAGAGGCGCAAGGGGTGAGAGGATTCTGGTTTAAAGATTTAAACCAGAGGACAGAGCGGGGAGCAGAACGGGCAGATGGACTGCAACACGCTGCCAGCGGGAGCAGCGGGCGGGACAGGAGGGGTCTGCCGCGCCACGCCAGGGGCTGCGGGCAGTGGCCCAGTGAGCCACCGGGGAGGCCCAGGTCGATGTTTTTGAGGGTGAGCCCTGCACCGTGCTCCTGGGCGCCGGCGAGCGGTGTCAGCCCCAAGGCCCCCACTTGCCTCTGCCCTGCCCCCACAGCTGGAGCTGGCCACCGCCAAGAATGACATGAACCGGCACCTGCACGAGTACATGGAGATGTGCAGCATGAAGCGCGGCCTGGACGTGCAGATGGAGACCTGCCGCCGGCTCATCACGCAGTCTGGAGACCGGTGAGAGCCTCCCCCAACCCCCCGGGGCCCCTTCATGCGGCGAGGGACAGTGGCGCCGGGTGGCAGGCCCTGTAGCCCCCTGTGGGGGTGCATCTCCTGCCGCCTGGCCCTCGGCAGTGGGGTGACACGAGTGTCCGTCCTGGCTGGGCAGCCGAGTCCTCCGAAGGCCGCCAGCGCTGCTCCCTGGCTTGAGGCAGCTAAGCACCGACCAGGAACAGGGAGTGGGGAGGGGGCCCTAGGGTCAGGGTCACCTTTTGGGCTTGACCCTGTGTCACTGTCGAGATCTCGGCAAAGAAGGGGACGGGCAGAAGTCTGGGGACTGCACGGTGGTAAGATGGGCCGAGGCAGCCGTGCCTCGAGGCTCCACACTGGCTCCTGCACCCGGCCTCAGCCCCAGGACGA